GGGGGAAAGAAATTGAGATCTAGATTTAGGGAGTGAGTGTGGGAGGAGAGACTGTGGGGGAGAGCAAAGCGGAAAATCAGAGAGGAGAAAGAAAAGGGGCTGAGAGAGCCAGGCAGCTTGGGGGCTGCAGTCTTACTGCTCGCGCTGGAGTCCTGAGGGACTAACTACACCTTGGCTAGAGTCCTGACGGATTCACTCTACCTAGGCCCCTTTCTTGACACGGGTGCTTAGTCTTTGTCGACAGATCTCCTTTAATGATCTTTACTTTTTCTTTTAAGAATGGGCAACACGCTGTGGGCTAGGCGGCGCGGCAGCGCAGAGCATGGAGCGGCTCACTCCCTTCCTGCCGCCATCTCGGGGTCAGACACGTTTAGAAACCAGATTCAACTGAATACACTTGTGCGCACAAAATTTGGAGGGGGAAGAAAATACTTGAGAGACTTCCAGAATTTTATTTAAAACATTTGTTGTTTCATGGCAGGACTATTGATAATTATGTGTCACTTCTACTGCTGTAATAATGCTGTGTAACATGCAGCCACAATTTCAGGTATGTTTGGCAATAAAAATATATTTAATTTAGGCACTAACCAAATTCAAGTAATTGGGGTTGATCTTGGCTAATAATAACCTGGGTTTAGTTTTGCATACTTGTTTATGTATCAGAAATATAATTAAAAACACAATCTCCCATACTAGGAGAAAATACTTTAAATAATTAATAAGCATCAAACCAGAGTGACACATATCATACATGATCTCCTAAGGAATTACATGACCAGAAAGGAATTTCATCTTTCTTTCTATAGCCTGTATACTTGTTTTCAAGATGCACAATAAGTAATTCTCTACTAAGAGGGCTCAAAGCAATTTGTTCTGTATATGTCATTCTAAATTTACCTGGTAGTTTGGGAGACCATCCGTGTCATATAACAGGCTTTATCTGGAAGAAGAATAAACTCCTCCAGCTTTATGACATGAGGTGGTTTTACAACTTGGAACAAGATGCCCATATAAGTTTGACTCCCACCTTTACACAGAAAAGGGGCCAAGGATTGGTATCTTCCCTTATGTTTACATTTCAAAGAAATGATTCCCAGATCCTTGAGAAAGAAATTCCTGAGCTACAAAGCTGACAAAATCCTAGCCAGTTTTCAAAATTATGTGTCAACATTTCAAAAGAGGAAAAAGTGCCATTGTGTAATTGCAGTTTTTCAAAGCAAATGCTAGAAGAAAAAGAGAACAATCTTCTTTTATTCAACAGGGACAATTGAGATTTTCACTTTTAATTTTCATTTGTTCTGAAGTCAGCAGAAACATTCACCAGGTGCACCTTGGTTAATGTGCGCGTGGTGTGCGTGGTGTGCAAAGCCTCAGGATAGTTCCTAAAGCCCCAGGTGCAGTGGAAAGACCCCAGTGGAAACAAGTTCCCAGAGCTTTCTGAGGCCCACACTCAAAATGGGGTAATATAACCAGCCCTGCTATAAGAACTCTGGGAAAGTGTGTAGGCAGGTAAATTAGAATGAGATTGTGCTGATTGACCTAAAGCAGCATGATTCATCTCCCAGGATAGGGTATTTTGTTTCCCTTAACAAGGTCTGTTTATTGAAAAGGCAGAAAACTATGGCAGTGAATAGAACTTGCTAGAGTGCATTTTCTTGTTGCCATTTCTTTTTCTGTACTCTGAACCATACTTCTCCCTTTTGGCATCTCAAGACTCATGTATGGAATTGAGCTCTGGAGAGTAACAATGGAAAATGGCAGCTGGAGGAGACAGCAGAGGTATAATAATGCTGAAGTGACCTTGGACTAGGATTCTATCCTGATGTTATCAGTCACTTCCAAGGAACTATTAGGAGATCTGAGGAACTGACTTACGTTACTCAAATTCACAGAACACTGACTGCAAAATCTGATCTGTAACTTAAGGTGGAACATCTATTCAAGAAGAATTCACATTAGTTATCTCCTCGGCCTTCAAGTCTGATGCTGTACTTGGACTTGGGAGTGTACAAGCCATTGTACTACAGCCTTACTGGCTGGCAATGCCAATCAGGGTTGTGATACTGTAATATGAGGACAGGGGCAAGGGACTTTTCTATCTGATTCCCATCTGCCTGTAAATTCTGTGAGAACTATTCCAATACTTCTTTGCTCTCTACCAGCAGAAAGCCCTGCTTATAGCAGTCATAGAATCAACATGATTAGTTCTCATTAATATCCTTGTTCCTAACTTTTTACTATTAATATTTCTCTTTGGGAAAGAGGGACATCCTTATCCTAGAGAAACTTAAGTAGAGTATGATGAACAATTGTAGTGAATAATGAGGATAAGGGGAGTTAGGTGATCTTTAAAATTATTTCTATGAAATACAATGATTGCTGTTTTCCACATCAGATTTTGTGTGATCCTCTCATCCCTAAATAGCATAGGAGGGACACACAAAGCCATTTAAAAAAAAATTTGTTGCACATGGACACAATGCCTTTATTTTGTTTATTTATTTTTATGTGGTGCTGAGGTTTGAACCCAGTGCCTCACACATGCCAGGCAAGCGCTCTACCACTGAGCCATAACCCCAGCCCACAAAGCCATTTTTAAAAGCTATGAGTTAACCACATTAACTCATTTAACTTTGCTGTTCATCTATATTTACATTAATAGTATACTGGTGTAGATTAAATAGTACTGCAAGTGACAAAAAACCCCAATTACTCTGTATTAGTTAGAAATTATTTCTCCTTCACCTAACCAACCCAAGCTCATACGGCAGCTTCATAAGTTGTTGTTCTCCAGGCTCTACACATCTTCTTGCTTTGCTGAACCTCTTCATGGTACAAGATGTTGTTCAAAATCGAGCCACTTCTTCTGCATGCCAGCCAGCATGGAAGGACTTGCACTTTCCTATTAAGGACAAATAGAAGTCAAACATATCTTTTCTAATTGTATCCCATTGCTCAGAATTAGTCACAATGTCAAATCAGGCTGCAAGGTAGGCTGAGGAGTCTTTATTCAGGACAATCCAGTCATGTCTTCTAATCTGCATAAGGGATGAACAATTATTGGTAGAGGATAAACAGGTTGTTCAACAGAATTGTCACCTTGTTTTTCCTGACTTCATTCTTAGATTTGTTTTTGTTTTCAAAATAATAGCATTAATGAGAAAGTTCACACTCTATATAATTTACCTATTAAAAGTGCATAACTCAACATTTTTAGTACATTCAGTTATATAACTATCACACCATCAATTTAGGAACATTTTCATCCTTTTCCTTAGCAATTATTCCTCTTTTTCCCTCTACTATTTCTTTTGGTCCTAGTCAATCATTAATCTGTCTTTATGAATTTGAGTATTATGGACATTTTGTATAAATGGACCCCTCCTATATATGGTCTTTTGTGACTGTCTTTTTTCACTTAGTATAGTTTTCATAGTTCACTAATTCACTTAGTATAGTTTTCACAGTTCACTAATTTTGTAGCAAGTATTAGTATTTTATCTTCACTTTAATAGCAGGCCATCATATGGATATACCACATTTTATAAATGAAGGAGGAATTAGCTGATGGACACTTGCATTGTGTCCACTTTGAGAATATTATGAATAATACTGCTATGAAATCTATACACAAATTTTTGTGTGGATACATGTTTTCATTCTTCTTGGGCACATTCCTGGGACAGGAATTGCTGGGTCACATGGTTGCCCTATGATTAACCTATTGAGGATCAGCAACATTGTTTTCTGAAATGTCTACATCATTTTATATTCCCATCAGCAATATGTGAGGGTTCCAATTTCTTCACATCCTTACCAACAACTGTTATTTTTTCACTTTTTTGGTTCTAGTCATCCTAGTGGTGTAAAGCGGTATCATTAGGTTCTTATGTTTTATAATACAAAATCTAAGAAAATATGAGATGGGGAAAATGCTGATCTATATTTTTAGAGCCCCAATTCCATTGCTTAGAGTGAATCACTTACCCTTTCTCAACCTCAGTTTCTTCTATGAAAACGTCAAGCTGCATGGATGTCTGAGGTCTATCTGCAAAAATTTTATTCATCTAGGATGACTGAAGGACAGCTTAACTACAGCATTTTCTAAGAAAACTTTCCAGGAAATGTAGGTTTAATTAAGCAAAAAAACTGGTTCATTTTAGAATAAGAAGAAATTATCAATATGAATATATTTTAATCTTCAAGATTATTTGTACACAGTTGGGCATGGTGGCACATGCCTGTAATCCTGGCTGCCTGGGAGGCTGAGGCAGAAGGATTGAAAGTTCAAGGACAGTCTCAGCAACTCAGTGAGACCCTGTTTCAAGATAAAAAAGAAAAAGGGTTGGGAATGTAGCTCAGTGGTAGAACACTTCCAAGTTCAATTCTAAGTCAAAAGATAAAGTACATTTTGTTTCATGTGTATATGTGAGTCTATACAGGTATACAGATGTATATACACCCATCTACACACATATATATGGCATTTCATAACACAGGCTGTGTTCAAAATGTTTGAAAAACAATGGGTTGAACAAAATTGTTAGACTCTTACTTATTCAAAATTCATTATCTACAACTCACTTAGTTTAACATTAACTTGGTCTGGATAGCCACAGGCCTAAGTTCACAGTGATGAACCCCACTGTGATCAGCCTCAGCTAATCATTGCAATCCCATTCTCTGTTTTGTCTACTTTCCTTGTATGTGAGAACAATCTTACAGTGTCTTCCACTGAGTAGCAAGTTTAAATGTGACACCTTCCCTAAGCCAACAGAAACTGTTACCTCAATTTGGATTTCTACAGCACTTTGTGCATTACCCTTATCACACGATCTCCTGTAACAACCACCTCTCCTCCCACCATAGGAACAGTGTATGCTCCTACGGAATCAAGGGGGTCTTATTTTTTTTTTTTTTGAGGAGCTGTTCAGTGTGGAGGCCACTCTGGTAGTGAGAGACAGTTCTGTGGGGAATGTGACCTGCTCTGTCCTCAACCCTGTCCTGGGCCAGGAGAAGGCCATGGCTATTTACATCCCAGGTCAGTGCTGCTTCCCACTCTTCCCACTTTAATTTGATGCCCTCCCATTCATTGACTTTTGATTTTATGTCTTGTGCTTAGGAGTCTTGTTAAGGAAGTGAATACCTGTGCCAATATGTTGGAATATTCAACCTATATTTTCTGCTAGGAGTTGCAGAGTTTCTTGTCTAATCCCTAGGATTTTGATCCACTTTGATTTGACTTTTGTGCAGGGTGAGAGATGGGGGTCAAAAGCATTTTCTCTACAAATGTGAACAAGACACAGATGCCCACTCTCACCACTCCTATTCAATGTAGTCCTTGGAACTCTAGCCAGAGATATCATGCACGAGAAGAAAATTAAAGGAATACAAATAGATTAAGAAAACATCAAATAATCTCTGTTGATGACAATATATTATATTTAGAAACCAGAAAAGCTTCACCAGAAGTCTTCTAGAGCTTATAAACAAATTTAGTAAAGTAGCAGGACACAAGACCAACATACATAAATCAATAATAAATCTTCTGAAAAAGTAATTAGGTAAACTACCTTCAAAAATATATTCTAAAAAAAACTTGGGTATTAATCTAATGATGGAGGTGAAGGATATCTATAATAAAAAAAATATACAACACTGAAGAAAGTATTTGAAGAACTTAGAAGATGAAAAGACCTTACATGTTCTTGAATAGGCAGAATTAATATCATAAAATGACCATAATACCAAAAGCATTATAGAGATTCAATGCAATCCCCATCAAAATGCCAATGGCATTTCTCACAGAATTAAAACAGTGGTTCTACATTCTTTTTTTAAGAGAGGAAAGAAGATGGCAGGCCAGAGGGAGACAGAATTCTGTATTGCTCTGTGATCCAGATCTCATCTAGTAGAAATTCTGCATCTCTGAGAGTGTTAGAAGATCCCAATACATCTGAACTCTGCAGAAATCACCAGTGCTATGACCCTGCACAGGACTCCGGGACTCAGGGTTTGAGCAGGATGCCTGGCATTCAAGTAGAATGCCTGATTCCCAACACCCAAAGTTCAAAGTTCTATCAATGTAGGATTCTGAAGTGCCTTAGCAGAATTAGCTATCAACAAATCTGCAGATCTCCAAGACTTCGCTCTGCTCCCATGCATGTGTACTCATTTGCTACCTACCCACAGCACAATGCCATCACCTGTCTCCTCGTACCTCACCAGACAACCCAGAGATGAAAGCAGACTGCCTCCATCTTGGCTCAACTTTTGGGCCATATTAGGTGAAGGCAGCTCCCAGATTGGATCTCCAGTGGCCAGGCACCAAATTTCCAACCTCCCGCTCTCCCCAGCAGTGGTAACTCAACACAGTAGCTGCCCAGCACAAATGTGCATTGCAACCAGGGAGCTGTTCATGGGAGCCGCTCATGGGAGCCCTGGAGTAACAGTTTCCTCAATTGGGAATTGCTAAGGGAAAGGGAGACAGAGCTAAAGTTGGGAGCCTAACAAAGAGTCCAGGAACTAGGAAATCTCCAGGCAACATAAGGAGACAGTACCGGGCACTTAAGTCATACTAGAAGTCCCAAAAAGAGACCCATGAGGTGCAATCACCCCGCAGGGATTAGCAGATGCCACTCCCTGCTTCCCGGTGCCCTGCACCAGGACAGTCTTCCAACCCTGGTTAACTCCACCATCCTGAGGCTGAGACACCAACTTAAAACATGCAATCCCATCTATTTGGTGAGAAGAGAAGCAGGAAAGATATGGATTTCTAAAACTAGCAACAACCCTGATTTCTTCCTTAGAGTTTTTTTTCTCTCTCTTCTACCCCTCTATTTTCTGACCCTCACATCCCCAACGTATGTGAAACCAAGAACTTTGCATGAAATAGGATTTTGAGGACTGAGTCATCTGAATAACATAATTAATATAGACATGTTGAATAAGCACTTTTTTCCTTTTATCTTTTGTCTTCTTTCATTTTTCTTTCCCCTCCAAATTTTACTATCTTAGCATCCTGTATTTTCCTAAATACATATGTGTTTGTTTTATGTACTCTACTGTCTTTCCTTATACTTCTCTACCCAAAATTACATCCTGTGTATTCTTATTTCTAACCCTCTTCATTAGATGTCTCTTTCACATTTTCTAAGATATTTTAACTCTATATCCTCACATCCTTCCTCCTCAGAATATCGTACTACGCCCCACCCCCAGTTCATTGTCCACCATCAGAAACTGTGAACCTTTTTACAAAACTGATTATATTTTATTATATTTTGAATTTGTTTATTCATCTCCTTGTCAAAATGATCTTTCACTGGTTGTATTTGCTCTCTTATATCATTATTGAGTTCACAAAATATTTTAACCATGTATATTCTGACATTTACAATTTTCTGTACATTGAGACTAAACTGCAATCATCTTAATAACAACAAATTGTTTATAGGTGATATGTTATTGATATTGTGATCTGATAACATTGTTCTTCCCCACAAAGGAAGGACCTTGGAACAGTACAAGAGCATTAAAAATCTATAGGGTGAAAACAATAACACCCTAGACCCATAGAGCTGGAAAGGAATACACAAGAGCAACATGAAAACACAAGGGCAGAAAGTACCACAAACAAATCAAGGCACCATATCATTAGAATCATTAGCAGCCAAAGAAGAAAAAATGACAGAGAAATAGTTCAGAATATATATGGTTAAAATGTTTTGTGGACTCAAGGAAGATATAAGAGAGCAAATACAAGCAGTAAAAGATCACTTTGACAAGGAGCTACATAAGCAAATCTAAGAAGCAACAGGGAGATAGAGATTTTAAAAAAATCAAATAGAAATACTTGAAATGAAAGAAACAATCCAAATTAAAAGTTAAATGAAAGTATCACCAAGAGAGAAGACCACTTGGAAGATAGGACATCAGACAATGAAGATAAAATATATACTCTTGAAAAAAACATAGACTACACAGTGATAATGGTAAGAAAAAATGAGCAGAACATTCAAGAAATAGGGATAGTATAAAAAGACCAAATTTAATAGTTATTAGGATAGAGGAAGTCATAAAGGTCCAAACTAAGAGAATGAACAATCTATTAAATGAAATAATATCAGTAAACTTTCCAAACATGAAGAATGAATTTGAAATCCAAATTCAAGAAGCCTACAAGATTTCAAATGTGCAAAATCACAACAGACCCACACCAAGGCATATTATAATAAAATGCCCAACATACAGAATAAGGAGAGAATTTTTAAAGAACCAAGAGAAAGAAATCAGATTACATATAGGGGAAACCCAATTAGGATAACTGCAGATTTTCCAACAGAGACCTGAAAACTAGAAAATCCTGGTAAAACTATCAAGTTCTGAAAGAAAATGGGTGCCAACCAAGATTCTTGTATGCAGCAAAATTAAGCTTTAGACTTGAAGATGAAATAAAACATTCCAGGTCGACAAAATTTAAAAGAATTTATAGCTAGAAAACCAGCACTGCAAAACATCCTTGGCAAAATATTCCATGAAGAGGAAACAAAAAACAACAATGAAAATCACCAGAGCGAGGTAGTACTCTAAAGGAAAAACTAATCAAAGAGGGAAATCAAGTCAAGTTAAATAACAAAAATGAATAAATATGTCTTGGAATACAAACCGTGTCTCAATAATATTCCTGAATGTCAATGGCTTAAATCCACCAATCAAAAGACATAGGTTAGCAGATTGGATTAAAAAAACGACCCAACAATATGCTGCCTCCAGGAGACTTATCTGATAGAAAAACACATACACAGACTGAAGGTAAAATGTTGGGAACAATCATACCACTTAAATGGAATGTGGAAGCAAACAGGGGTTTCTATCCTCATATCAAATACAGCAGACTTCAAGTTAATCAAAAATGATAAAGATGGACATTACATACTGCTCAAGGGAACCATACACCATCAAGACATAGCAAGCATAAATATGCTCCAAACAATGGTGCAGCTATGTTCATCAAACAAACTCTTCTCAAGTTCAAGAGTCAAATTGACCACAACACAATAATCATGGGTGACTTTAAAACACCTCTCTCACCAATGGATAGATCTTCCAAACAAAAGTTGAAAAAAGAAACTATAGAACTCAGTAATACAATTAATAACTTACTTAACTGACATATAGAATATTTCAACCTGCATCAAGAGGATACACTTTCTTCTCATAAGCACATGGATCCTTGTCTAAAATAGACCATATAATATCC